CTTTCTTCCTTGCTTGCTTGCTTGCTTGCTTGCTTGCTTGCTTGCTTGCTTGCGCGACGTTTTGGGCGGGGTCCTAAGACCCTCACCCCTGCGCTCTCGAGCTATGCCAAGGTCCGCAAGAAGATCTTTCTTTCTTTCGCCAGGGCTGCAGACGAGGGTTGCCCCTCGTCCGCGCGCATCAAGCGCCCCCGTATGTTAGGGGGCCAGCGGTGCGCAAGAAGATCTCTCTCGCTCTCTCTCTCTCGCGTCGTCGTCAGAAAACTGTGCATCACAATCAAACGAGAAGTACATCCCATTGCAAGAGATGGTCGTGCGACCTCAAGTCCAAAGTGTGAATGAACATGGCTTACCAAGGCTTACCATTGCTGTTTCTGCCCGTCCTGCTATTTTGCGACTCTGTTGTCACAGTCTCCCTGCTGCTGCACTTGCTACAGCTCTGCTGCTCATGATGAGAACGTGCCTTTTCAAATGAGATAGAAGCACGGTCTAAGCCCGTGCAAAAACGCGTCAGGCTCACCGCGGTGAGATCCATGAACAAAGTTCCAGTGGATATCACCTGAGAGGGCAAAGGGGACAAGAGAATGCTGCCACAAGTTTCAGGCGGGTGACGTCCAAGACGAAGAAGAAGCTGCCAAAATAGTCGTCTTTCCCTGGAAGTATGGGGTCAGGTAGTCGGAACTGCCCAAGGAACACGCAAGCAAGCAATCCGGCCTAAACACGACGCGAGACATTCCAGAGAGAAAAAAACCTTGGTGACGGTCAGCTCTGCAGATCGGCTACTGCATCGAAGTTGCCCGGGGCACGACTGCACAAGCACCTTGCCCGCAGCTGCAACCGAGAGGCGATGCAGAAGACAACTAAACCGTCGAAGATATCGTCGACAGGTTTGTTCGTGCAGAGCAGCTTCAGGTCATCACCTGCCCGGGACATCAAGAACAGGAAGAAGTGGACCCCGGTCGGCAAAGACTGCAAGCCACATGTCGTTCGCTCGGAAAAACTCGCTGTAGCAAATCCAAAGCATGAACTCAAGACTCCGCAAGTATCCGATGGAAGCATGGCGAAAGCCTGCACAAAAAAAAACATGTCTCCGGAGGCAAAACCCTGCACAACTGGCACACTCCAGCCCCTCGCGACGGGATAGCCGGGCTCCACGCCCATCAGTGCCCACACAGTGATAAGAGTGCTGACCTCAAGCACAGTGTACGCAATGTCCGAGTGCATGCATAGGTTGCAGAATTAGCCTCGAAACACCGTGCCGGGGCCCCTCACGAAAACGAAGATCTTGTGATCCACGAGGATCCCACATAGTCTGGCGGTTCGGTCAGACTTGAAGTCTTAGCCTACTGCCACCTTTTGAAATCCAAGAAGGCTTGAGGGTAGCATCTGTGGTGGAGAAACAAGGTGAAGCTTACAGTGGCGAATGTCTTCCACTCTAAAGCGCCATTTCAGCGCCTGCAACTCTTCGGGGTTAGCTTGGGCGCAACTATGCAACCTCGACCCACTGCCGATCTCCCATGGTGCTCTTTCCCCACACCACGACTCACGGCAGCACACACTGCTCTTCGTCTTGTTGATGCTGCTTGTGCTCTTGCGAGTATGGCCTGTGCTACTGGGCCATTACCGCTACCCGTGTTTGAATTTTATTCGCAAGTGAGATGCTGACACACGACAAGACTCCAAGCTGCACCTCGATATTCGTGACAGCATTACCTGGCGCAGGGCCGCGTTGCTTGCGTTGAAAGGGGCTCACGTACTCTCACATATCCAGCTTAGAGTGGTGTGCTGGGCTTACACTTTACCCGGAGTTGGGCTTCACGGCATACTTTCGACACGAAAGGGGGCCGCCTTCCATGGACTCCGCTGGCGAGGGACCTCGATCGATGCAAGATTCCAGCACTCCAGGGACTCGAGGGGTATGGGAGGGTCTGGGATGGTTTCGGGGCCTGACACAGCCCGGCACACCACTGAGGCAAGGGCCTTTTGGACAGGTACGGTTGAAACCGAAACCGGCGGAGCTGGAGAGTTACCACCATTGCCACCACTTTTGGTGCTCGTCCCTGCAGAAGGACAGGTTTGCTGGCAGGCGCCATTGAAAAGGAACTAAGCCTGAGGCTCCCACCGCTCGAGTTGATGCTCGTCCTCTCTTGACCCACTCCTGGCAGAACTGAGAGAGGCGGGACTTGACACCGGTTACTTCTCTGCATGTGGTGCTCCGGACCACTCAGGCTGTCAGAAACCCAAAACTATCCCAAACGGATGGAGGCAGAGACGGTGAAGCTGGGCTCCACACCGGCTTCCCGGAGCTTGCCCTTGCAGGCAGGCGCGTCTTCCGAGGGCCAACCGAGGATCTTCTACCGCTTCTCGAGTTCGGCATCGAGTTGGCACGATAGGGTTTAGGGTCTTTAGGGTTTAGGGTTGGTTTCGATGACAAACAAACCTCTTGACTGCACAGAAAATGGAGGGGGTCACGTGTTGTGCTCAACGCTTGCTTTGCTTGTGAGGCCTCAGGTTCTAGCGACCAGACATGATGCTGCTTAAGTAGTCGCCGCTGCTGGTGCTGCTGCTGCTGCTGCCACCACTACTGCGACAACAAGGACTACTACTCGGACCAACACCAGCACAGGCTGCTACTAGAAGTGAACTACAAGCTGAGGAAACCACGGAAGAAGCGTGACTCAAGGTGAGCGACCTCGGACGTTCGCACCCAAAGGTTGGAGGGAGAGGCGGTTGAACTTTCAAGGTTGATGAATCTTGAGATTGAGTCTAGGGTCCAGGATCGGCATTCCAACATCACTCACAACTCAGGGGAGACAGCACGAGGTTATGCTAGGCGCGGTGCCCTTGGTTGCGACGAACTGGGTCTTCTCTGGCCTTGAGCTCGGGGTTTCCCTCGCTTTGCGTCCTGGCACAGGAAGCAAAGCGAATCCGGCCCGGCAATGCGAAGGATACTGCCACCGTTCGGGCGTCCTTGGCGGCCATGCTTGCGCAGGCCCTGATTCCTGGGCAAGGCTCAGGTGTGGAGGTTGGGGCCGTGTGCGCAAACGCGATCGTGTCCGAAACACTGTGTGCACGGCCATAGCAATCGGCAGCCGGGACCGGACCTGCTGCAACAGCTCACGGCCAGAAGGCTGCACCCGAAATCCCAGCCTGGCCTACGTTCCTGTCGGACGCCGGTCACGGCCTGAAAGAACGAGGGATGAGAGATTGCACGCAAGGGGTTGCACTACCGGCTGCTGGTTCACCTCGGCCGTGTTGCGAGGCCAGTCCAAAAACGTTTTCAACGCGCTGGACCTGAGACGAGGACGAACATGAGACATTGCATGCTCACACTCCTCCTGCTGAGGCTGGTGCTGTGCCTCTTTCAAAGGTCGGTCAATTGAGAGGCGTTGACTACCGCGATAGCCTTTGCACCTCAGAACGTCTGTCGTCCGAAGCTACGCCCGAACTCGAAACACACGACGCATACACGCAACGTTCGATGCAAAGCCTGAGTGCAAGGCACAGCCCCTGCAGCACAAAGGCCGCCTGGAAGCGGCGGAGACCCCAGAAGAAGGAGACAAACTATCCCTCCTGCTAGCGACTAGCGGCTATGTCCCCCAAGAAAAGACCAGTGTGTTTGTTCCCCTACGGCTTTTCATGCATTGGTAGGGAGGGGGGGGCAGGGATTCTGATAAATACTTATCAGGAAACGGCCCTAGCTACCAGGTCCGAAGCTACTGTACTGGAGGGGTCCCAACATGCCTAAGCTGTCACGTAGTTCCCACCAGGGCCTTCGGCGGAGTCCCTCTGCACTGCGGGGATCCATGTGAATCCCATTCAACGCCCACCCGCTGAAACCGAGAAACAGCGACATCGTGCCACATGTCAGCAAGAAAAACTGCTGCGCACCAAAGCTTTCAAGGATGTTGCTACTAAAGATCATCCAAATTCTCTGCTGATGATTCTACCGGCAAATCCCTGTGCCCTCTGTGCTTCACGATGGCTCTGCCGCATGCCTGTTCACAGCACACTGGCTCAAAATACTCGTGTGGCAAGTGCTGATGAATGTTTTGTGTTACACGGACTTTAGATGTGGGAGCGAAAAGCGTCCCCACAGCATGGACGACAGTGTCACGAGGAGTCAAGTTTACAGCTGCAAGCACTGATTTGTCCGTGCACGCCCTTCTGGAATTGTGTCTGGCTGGAGTGGGGTGCGGGAGAGCCAGAAAGAGTTCAAATGAGCTCAAGCATCTCCGGCGGCCCCTCCACTCCGCTGCACCACCGCCGGTCTGCATAGCTGGACGCTCTGCCGCTCCGGCGAAAGCCGCTCCAGTTGGAAGCAGTCGGCATCTTCGTGGCAACTAAAAGTGGGCCAGGCGGCATCAATGAAGATACACCGACCCAAGAGTCTAGACAACGAGCATGCAATCAGGGAGATCAGGCATCTCCCTAATTTTACACCTGCTATACAGGGCAACGTAAATCAACGCACAGTCCAGTCGACGGCACGTGCAGAACAGTCCTCCAGACTGCCTGTTACTGGCTGAAACATGGCCTACTGCCAGGCAACTGGCGGAAACACATGAAGACTCGGCTGGAAGATGAGGCCTCGCAGGCTAAGCCGCAGGCTAAGCGAGGTGGTCAAACGATACTTGATATAAGTGCAACACATGCACTCTTCATCTGGCCCTGTGTAGGCTTCAGATCTCGCTGACGTCGTCTGAGCACAGAGTACTTGAACTTCGGCGGGCACTTGGCTATGTCCTTCGCAAACCACACGGAGTGAAAAGCCTTTCTTTGCCCTGATTCGTTGAAAGATTACCCTGTAGTTGGAGGCTTTGCAGCACGTCTTCCTGTGGACCTGCTTCCTATATGGAAGCGGAAGAAACAGCAAGCACTGAGCATCGTCACTACGTTTTCCTCTCTAGGCTGGAGCCCTGACTGTGCCTTACAGACGTACACTAGGCGATGAGCTCACACTGGCTAATGCATGCTCTGAAGCTTTCCTTTCCGCTTCGTTGCAGAGTTGTTCAACTCGAGCTTTCATTTCGTTCGGTCTGCAGGACATGCCCTCTACCCACTCACTCGCGTCCTTGCTACTCTTTCACTCCCGTCCTTGAAGAACTCGTCCATCCGGAGCACGTGCGTCCAGTGAGCTCGGCCATCTGGAGCCAGCAGTGTGCCCGGAGGGACGTCCCAGAAGCGTGGCGTCAGGGAGGAAGTCGAGGGAGTGCGCAGGTCTGCGGCCCAGCTAAACGACTCGCACTCCTCCTGCTCGCTCGCTCCCTCGACTTCAAGGGGCATGTCAACCGGGTACAGACAAAGGTCTACCAGGTCTATGTCGGGTTTGCATGGTGGCGGCAGTGCAGAGAAGTCGAAGTCCCCAAGCTCGTCTATGTCAGGTTTCCCTGTAGCTGTCACATCGCCTGGGCTCACACTGCAGCAACTGCCGACTGAGAAGCACCACTAGCCACCATCAGAAAAAAACTCTGAAAGGGTCAAGCCGAGTCAAGCCACCTATCCGCTTTCCCATTTGGTTGACTGCCTCCAGTCTCTGCTCTGAACGAGCCATGGAGCAGCCCACACTATCTTCCTCGCTCTCTCAGCCCTGTCTGAGCCGCAGTTCAGGCCGTGATCTGACGTGTTTCTCAATCACGCACAATGACAGGACATGTTATCAGAAGCTCTGTAGCTGTAGCTTCTGCAGCGTTGCAAAAATCACACCCTTCTCATGCTGGATGTTTTTCAACACACGCGAAGCTCTGGCGGCGAAAGACTCAGCAGACCACAACTGGCAGACCTGGAACGCGAAGGAGCGCGAACCGGAGAAGCTCCGTCAGAGACTTCTCCTCATTCTGTTCGGGACCACAGTGCTTGCAGTGCTGTCCGCATCTTCCAAAGATGTCAGAGATGTGGGGAGGCTGCACGGCGCGCTTCAGGCGATTTGCTCGGACGCATTAGTCAACGAGGGTGGCAAATCTGCGGACCACGATCTGCTTCTGATATCTGAAGAGGTCAGCCTGCAAATGAGCGTTCGACGAGCGTTCGAAATTACGAGTCTGGTCTGAAGCACCGCGGCAAGTGCCTGAGCAGCTGTCCAGCTCGACTGCAGCACCCGCTCGTGTTTGCCAGACTCCTGACACCACACCTTAGACTGAAGCCGCATCGCATCCTTCCACAAGTCAGCGTGTTTCAGAAGCTTGAGCACCAGGCCACTTCGTGCGTAGAGTCCGAGAGTCCTAGACTTTGGAGGACGTCGGACATCGTCGTGTCGGCATTGACTGCGACGCGCTGCCTTTCCTCGCGCAAACGCGACGTGGAAGCGGGATGCCAACTTGAGATGTTCTGAGCCGCCTCCTGGCCAACCACTCGAGGCTCCCAGTGCCAGGGCTGTGGGATCCGTGCTTGGCTACCGCCTTCTTGCAAGTTCATCGAGATCTCAAGACCTGTCCGAACAAATGATTTCTCTACGTCTATGTTGCCTCAGCGTCAGAAACGACCCGGCCTTCCGGAAGGCGATGCCAAGGTTCAACTTTCCGCCAGTCGTAGCTTGGATTGAAATCTTCAGGCCGGTGAACAAAGAAATCCACCTTCTCGGCGTGTGTGACTTCGAAGGGGCCAGCGCCTTCGAGATCCTCACGCTTGCCGTCTTCTCGCAGTGCAATGCAGAGATAACCTAAAGTCCCCTGGTGCCAAGCCTCTTTGGATTTGGGCTGCATCGAGGAATCTGCTGTCTTCCAAAGCACCTGTGCTCCGGAGGTGTGCTTTCACATGTCTCGCCTCATCTACCACGATGACACATGCAATGTGAAAACACAGCTGATTCTTCTTGTGCCCGGCACTGCTCGGATGACATGGTTACCTGGCTGCAAGCCGGGTAACTTAGGCATCAAGGCTTCCAAGGTAAGACCGGCCTTCGGGCACACTGCGCCAGACGTAGGGCTCTGTGGGAACCTGCACAAGGTAACGTTTCTGCCTGTCGAGACGATGACAACCAGCAACAGGGCCTTCTCAAAGCAGTTCATGGGCGTAGATGGGCTACCGCCCACCTGAATCGGCTGTTGAAAGCAAAATTCGCGCTCTGAGAGACTTGATCGCCCGCCCTGGCTACGAACCTCTGGCCTCCAGCCAAAAGGCTAGCCCCCCAGGCAGGGCACCTGAGGTGCTCGTTGTATCTGTAATTTCTGAGCTGGCTGCGGCTACGGCTGCGGCTGCTGCTGCTGCTGCTACTGCTGCCGCCACTGCCGCGACCGAGACCGCGACGGCTACCGCTACCACTACCGCTACCGCTCCTCCTCCTCCTGCTCCGGTCCTCCTCCTGCTGCTGCTGCTGCTGCTACGGCTGGGGATACTGCGACTTCCACTCCTCCTCCTCCTCCTACTACTAAGTTACTAATGCATGTGTTTCAGTGCAACATTATCAGTATGAACCAGTTCACACGTGGCAACATCTTTCCACGGTGGCCGAGGCTCTGTTGAACTTTACAGACACATCGGCGAGGGCACCGTCTGCAAGGGCCACATTCTGACCTTTCTGAGCTTGGTTAGGAAGCACGCTGAGACAAAGAGGCCACTGGAGTCAACACCAAAAGACAGTGGCCTGGCCTGTCTTTGGAACGAGGATGAGCTTCGACTCCCCTACCGATGCCTTCTCGCCCACCAGCTCCATGGATGTTCTTGGATGCACGGGGCTCCTGTGCACCACCAAACAAAGGATTTGGAAAGGAGGGGAGGTTTCGGGTGGTTTGAGGAAAACTTGAAGGTTCATGAATGCTGCGCAGAAGGTATAAGTACACCTGCTGAGGCTTATGAAGGCATCTAGAGTCTAGAGCTAGCCGTAGCAGCCCCGCATGTCACCCTTGGTTCTTCACGAGCGACTGGGCTGCGGGATGCTGGGAGTTCGTGGCTTACAAAGGGCTCCTTCTTCGGTTGGTTTAGGGTTATAGCTACCAAGAAGAAGGTACTACAAGTAGTTGAATACACTTGGCGCTGGGTTTAGCCGAAAGATAGGATGCTGCTTGAGTACCCTCGGTCAAGGGAGCTCGGGAGGCTGGGCAGATCTGGGCAGCTAAAAGGGGCGCGCTGCAGCTAAGCTTGGCAGTGGCGTCAGGCTGGGGCAACCCTACAAGGAAGAAGGCAAATATCAACAAACCCTCCCCAAACCTGCAAGTGCTCCGGCGCGCAAGCCAAACCGAAGGAGACAAGGACCTGCACGGCAGAAGCGGAGTGTTCAAGCTCTGGGTTTTGTTAGTCTAAGGCAAGATCTGCAGGCGCCTTGCTGACGGCACCGGCCCTCCCCCCGGCCGGGGTGCCAAGGCAACCCAGAGAAATGCAAGCGAAAATCGATGCGAAGCTCGTGCATACAATCAAAACTCATTACAGGCATGTTTTCAAGCTCTTTGAACTAAAGTCTTGAAGTCTTGACGCCACAAACAGCTCAGCTGATCATCTGTGACGCGCACGTCGTGCCTTCGGATCCCAAAAGCCGATCGAGGTCAAGATTGTCTATACAAAGATTCCTTGAGCTGAGGCCACACGTTGCCACGCAAGGTTACGTGGCTACACAACCCAGCACTCCGGAAGCGAACGAATGAAAGTCGTGTAATCACTTCGTGGCTAGCATGGCAAGTACAATTCTTCCTGAAAATCTCGATGGCGGTGCCATCCTTACGCGGCACTGCTTCTCTTATTGCCATCGACGGCTTTATGAGACAGGAATCTGGCCTGCGGGCAAACGAGCAGACATGCTCTGCACCCTCAAGCCGGTGTAGGCAAAAGCCGAGGCCACCACACTGTAAGAAATGCGCAAAACTCCCAGACACGGCTCTTTTCGGCACTGTTGAACAAGGCAGCTGTGGGTGAGAGTCCGGCACCAAAGCGCTGCAGGCCTGCATGGGTCGCCCAGCAAACAGGACAAGTCACCCGGATTAGTTACGATAGAAATAGACGTATCAATACAACGATTCCTGCAAATATCTACGAACACGAAAGCCAAAAACACTACTACTGTGACCATTACGACTACCACTGCTATTGTTTTTTTATGACGAGTACTACGGTCCTATAAACTGCTTTACTACATTATGCTGTATAGTCCTCTATTGTATATCTGTATATTGTATATTATTGTACAACTACCATATAACAATCAACAACATTTCTATATCGCATAGTATCTTTTAGAAAATCATAGTCTGTTATGTTATGCTAGAGTATACTATAGGCAGTTTACCATACTATCGTATGCCCCTACTGCAGAGATTGTCTTGTTCGTTCAGCTGTTCGATAGGCCAAACTGGATTCAAGACAGTGCTATCACCCCCAACCGGACGAACCACGCCATGCAGCTGGCCTTTAACGCCTTGGACCAGTCTGCTGCGTCGTCACAAGTGCCCAGGTCCTGTATCCTTTGTGATGCAGGGCCCACGGTCCACACAGAGTTGCAGATCGAACTGTCGCGGCCTCGCCGCCAAAGCTCGCATCGCATGCGGCGGCAGAGCTGAAAGATTCTCACCCAGAAGGATGGCCAGAGCCTGCCGAATGTCCGAGGGTGCATTCCACTTGGGCTGCATGGCTCCTCTTTGTCGCTCCTCCGCGCCGGCTGCTGCGAGGGCCGGGCTGCGCTCTGCCCGGCAGGCTCGAAGCAAGCAGAGGGCTGATCCTCAGCGCTCGGCGACCGCTAGCAGCCGCTAGCAGTGGCTGGCAGTTGCATGTGCAGCTTGCAGAGAACAGCAGAGGGCCCAACGGTATCTGTCACCACCAGTGCAGCCTTCCAAATCTTCCGGCACACACCGCTGCAGGCGCCTTGCAACGGACCTCGGCAAAGTCCACACACTCTGCCCGCTGAAACTGTGTCCGCGTCGTCTCGTGCAGGTCTTTTGGGTCCCTTGCAGTGCCAAGTCTGAGACCTCACAGCACACGTCCAAGCACTGCACAACTCCTAGGATCATCTCGATGGCCTTGGACGGTCCCAGCAGGCGCTCCATGGCAACAAAAAAGTTGAGCCTGGCACTGACACTTGTTTCATAGAAGCTCGTCCCTGAAAGGACATCTTCAACAGCTGAGGCTTTGGCAGACCTCGGGGCAAGAATCGCGTGGCGCCTGAGCAGCACATCTCTGCCGGCTGGGACTCCAGCTCAGAGGCTCAGGGGCGCCACGGTTCGTTCCACGATCTAGAAGGACCGTGGCCTGATCCCCAAAAAACAGATCATCAGCAAGCCACGGCCAGGTCAGATTCAGCACCGATTCACGATTGGTTGCGACTCCTCAGCGCCTCACAGCCCCCAAGATTTGTTGGAGACCGGCTGGATCTTTGCAGCTCCTCTAGGCAGGTCGCTGAATCAACCCCCCACTTCACCGCTAACACCCACGGACTTCCTCTGGAGCCGCGCGCAAGCATATGCCGATATTTCCAAATGCATTGGCCCCATCCTCGCGTCAAAGGGCATCGCAGGGGAGCAGGGAAAAGGATGGTCAGGACGCACTCGCCCCAGGCAACGCGCTCCTGCCAGCGTGCTGAGCCACTGCTCCCACCAGCAAACTGCGTGCTGAGCCTGAGATGCTCTCGTTGCTCTCTTGCTTCGGAAAAGTGCTGACACCTGCTTACTTTGTCTGGGCGACGAGCTCCAGTCAGATTCCACTTTCGCAAAGGACGATGCACCTGCGAAGACCGAAGAAGCTGCCATGTTCCACTCGCGAGCACGGGCTGCGCTTGGATTCGGCTTAGCCGAAACTCGTGGAACTTTCGCACATGACTTTGCCCTCTGCCTAAGCAGACTAGTCACTAGTCTTCCAGACCACTCCCATAGTGATCGGCGACCGGATCAATTGAAAAGCAAGGAGGGAAGCCAAGCCTCGCACTGCACACGAAGCGTGGAACACGTCGGTGCCATGGAAAAGATGTGTCGCCATTCAAATCCCCACTGCCGGCGGACACATCACACATGCTTATTCGCTGTTCTCGTGTACAGCGACCGTCCGAGATGATTAAATACGCGTATATAGAAATTGCGATCCGACGCGCCGACCTTGGGTTCGCTGGCTTTCGCTGCGTCGTCCAAATCAAAGGCGGGTCCTTCAGAGCATGCCTGCTCGGTTTCGTGTTCGCCCTGCAGCGAGCAAGATACGCCCGCTGCAACTCTTTGGACAGCTTTCATTGGTGCTTTCGCAACAGCAAGACATCGCAAGATTCATCCTGTGCGCTTGCGAAAAGAGGAGGTTGGTCGGAGGCAAAAGGCGTTCTGTGTCAGGTGAAGGAACCCTCTCATTATCGTTATGCTCACAAGATACAAGAGGCCCCGACCCACCAGATTGGCGAGCATCAACGGGGAACTCAGCCCCCAAGCCTCTTTTTCGGAATGCTGTCAGGAATGGTCTGCACTGCGTAACATGAATGCCTCCTTGCTGTGCTCGAGAGCTCGGTCTTCGAACCTGACAACCACACACAACCCGGGCAGGTCTGCAAAACCTCTCACAGCGAATGCGCTGGCCTTCGAAACACCGCCTTCACCTCCTGTCCAGAGGTTGAAGGGTATCAACCATATTGACTCACACAACCGACATATGCATTCTGCTCCACTGGAAGCTTCCAAGCATCACCCTAGCCATCCCTAGCCCTAGCAATGCAAAACGTCCAAGAGGTACTTGCGAGCGCTGAAGCGAAGGATGCCAAGCAACAAACAATCGAAGGCCGAAGTCGGTGCTGCTCAAACTTTTGTCCGTTCGTGCTGTTTTTGCCTTAACTGCACACGACTTTCGGCATCGTCGAATGAGTCCTGACTTTCTCGGTGGCTATTCACTGGTGCTATGCTGTGTCAGAGGGTCGGCACTGCAACAAGGCCCTCAGACAACAAACTTGATTTGCGAGGTCATTCGAACTGCTGGACGTGAACTCATCACATCGAGTTAATTCGGCCTCTTCGCCCAAAGCCTCGCGCAATGAAAGTAGAGCAGATGACAAGCACCTGGCCGTCCCAGTCCCAGCACCGTGTGCGAGTCTGACCGTCCAAGAACACTGAACCGAGGTCAGGACGTAAGATTGGAAGGCGTCTTTCCCACAGTCGACAAGTTACGAACCTCCCGAGACTTGACACGCCCGGCCTGCTTATCCCAAACAGCTGACTTACAGCCCACCAGCGATTGTAAGGTGTCGCCGTCTGTGTACTTGGCCCGAGCGAAGCACCGCCTGAGAGCGCCCACGCGTAGGAAGCTCCCCCACTCCCTCGATAGGTTCGGGCGCCCGGGCAGGAGCCGGATACACAAGTCAATATCCTTTTTCAGGTCTCTCTGTCTCTGCGACATCTCGATGAATCTCTTGCGGCTAAGGCGCCATCTGCGAACAAAGCTCCGCAAAGCGCGAAGCAACCCCAGCCCACTCGCCTGGCCGCCAACAGCCACGAGCCGTGACGGCGACGCTGTGCGACTGCGCCTGCCCCGCGACGGCCGGACCTGACTGGGCTGCCCTCCGTGCATACCCGTGCCCTCTCGTCTGAGCCACGTGCCCTCAACGTGCCTTGTGGCCTAAGGCTGGTGCCTGCGACCCTCCGCGTGAGCTCTGCGCTGAAGCAGTCGTTCAGCATGCCTAGTCAGCTCCAAACCTCGGGAATGCAAGCCATTGCAAGCCTGAAGCCGGGACGGCAATCAGTCGCACTCACTTAGGCACGAACTGTTCAAGCCACTGACGCTTCCGCTTTGCGCCTCGTCGCAAGCAAAATTGATTGGGGCTCAGACAGGAGTGGGATGCTGCAGGCCAGGCAAAGGGGCTCCGCTCCAAGTCCGTCAATGGCCAATCCTTGCCTTAAACATACACAAGACTTGCACGGGTGCTTTCTTCTGACCGTACATGATCGTACAGGTTACATGCACGATGCACACAGAAGTGTCTATGCACTCAACATGCACTTCTCAGATGGGCTGCGTTGGTTGATAGTCAGGGCCACCGGTGGAGGAACACGCAGCTCATGAAACATCCTCAGCAAATGAATGATCCGCTGGCAAGACACGTGAACCAGCAAAAACCTTGTACTCCCCTCTATGAGATTCTATGAGCCGATCGACAAAACTGATGGGATGTCCGTACTGCACTGTAACTGCGCATGTTACAGAGGCCTTGACGTTCGGCATGACTTCGCAAACGACCGCAAAGCGCCCCCCGGCAGCCGCAAGCAAGGCGATGGCATCTTGCAGGCGCACAAGACATGATGGCACAAGCACTACCCTCTTGCCGAGCATACCCAGTGCTTTGGCAGCTACTGTATTGCATAAGCAGCCTCTCACTATGAAAGCTGCCGTCTCGGTATGCCAAAATATGCTAGGCATCAGGAAGGCACTCAATTGGCAAGGGTTATTCAATATTACATGACGGCCCAATCTGAGAAAAATGAGGCCAAAACCTGCACAGTATGCATGAAGCTAGATGTTTCGAACGACATGATTGACAAAATAATGTAGTGCTGAAGTTGACCTCCAGCTTTTGTGCCACTTCTTGCTTGTGAGGGCTATGATGTTCGAGCGCTGCGAAATTCGGCAGACAACGCGTTGTATTCGAGCAGCACCTCAGGAAGGCAACAGCACGAAAAAGAAGTTTCGCCACACCTGTGCTTGCGACTGCACTGGAAACGCCAAAATCAAACTACCTGTTCCGAACGTGTAACCACGTTGAAGGTGCAGTCAACCTCAAACTACAAGTTGTCACACAAATCGGACAGACTTTCTGCGGGTTGGCAGACTGCGAGCTAAATAATCCTCATGAACGGAATTTGCAGTCGCTGCACATTCCGGCTGCTATTAGAAACTGCAGCGCTGCTGCCGGCGCAGTTCGCTCCTACCACAGAAACTTCGGCATTGCCAGAGCTCTCCACCAGTACGGCAGCAGAGCCCTGTCAAGACGGTTCACAGATAGCCTCAACTCTGCGTCGTCAATCTTTAGCTCACCATCCCAGGAACAGATCCACACCGGCTTCCCGAAATGCTTGTAGCTGTTGTGCTCCTTGCGGTGATCCCAGTGAAACAGACACGGTGATCTCAAAGAACCAAAACGGATCGGACGGCAGTCGAAGCAGACAGGGCTTAGGGCCCTTAGGGTTTAGGGCTCATAAGGTTTAGGCTTCTGATTCGGCAAAGATTCCGAGATGAACTCCTCCACCTTGTCGCGCTCCTCCCTCTCCTCGCACTGGTCGAAGGGAGCCAAGCGAATCAGAAGCAGCGCGTGGATTCTCTCTTTGAGTTGCCTAAACTGGCGCTCCACAAACAGGGTCTCTTCCCAGCGGCTAGCTGTGGACGTGGTCACATACACAACGGGGTCTCCAGAGGCAGCATCGGATTCTGATATCTGCCACCTTTTCGGAAGGGCTGAGTTGCCACGAATAACCTCAAGCACCTGCTGGCGCGAGATGTCCGATGGAAGGTGGTCCCTTCCATCTGTCCTTTGAAAGTGCAACTGTATGGAAGGCAGATTGACCTCCAACATCCGGCACAAAAACCCGGGGAGAAGGGTCAGCAGAAGAGCTAGGGCGGCAAGCCCCGGCCGTGTAATCTGCTTGGCGGGGCTCGCTGCCACCGCCACTTCGCAAGGGTCTGCGTCTGTACACTCCGATGCCGTACCTGGAGTTGACACTTCCTCAGTGCCGCCGGACTTTTGTGGAGCATCTGCGTCTGTAACCGATTGCTCTGAACGCTGGACAGCATCTGCTGGCCTGCAAGGGGCTTGCCAGCTCTTTTTTGGGAGTCGGCTTGCGCATCCACAAAAACAAGAAACCCGTGCCTCGGAATGGTCTCCGTCTTTCCAGGGATGGAACCCAGAGCTTTGGACGGGTCCGGCGACTGATTCCGATGCCGTGAACCTGCGAGTGCAAGATCTGGAAGTCGAGTTGCAGCGCTGGCCGGACGGCCGGTCATAGATGGACTCTGCGGCTCGCAGCTCGCTGTCTCCATGCACGTCGGCGGACTCTTGGGATGAGGTTTGACAGCACGGTGCTGTGGGTGCTAGGTCGGGGCTGGGGCACCGCTTTCGGCAACACTATCATGGCTTCAGATCCCATCCATGTTGCTTTTTTCTTGAAGCCATCTCGCACAACGACCGGACAAGTCCCTCGCCAACAGGCGCGGCGCCAGCCCGCCCTCCCAGTGCAACGAACTCTGCCTTTTCCATCTTTGCAGACAGTCTGTGCCACACGAGTTTGTCTCAATTGGCCTTCACTTTCAACTCCATCAAACCGCAGCATGGCTTCGCTTTTCCTTCTGTCCGCGATCAGTCTGGCCTTCTCCATAACTTCTGGTGTCCCTCCGTCTGCGATCAGTCTGGCCATCTGCATAGGACGTCCGCCTGTCTCTCAGCGCAAACTCAATGTTCTTCACGGCTGGAATCAAACGAGCAGGTCTTCTCCGCTGCGTCGCGCCGTGTTGCTTCTTGCCAACTTCTCCCTGCCCTGCACCACGGCGGTTCCCTCCAATCGGAATCAATCCGGCTGTCGCAAGCTGTTCCTCAGGCGATTGCTAGGACTCCATCGGAGAAACGGATGCAGAGCACTGTGAAAACCCGAGTCCAAACGTCGAATGCTCTCAAAGGACAAAAGACGCTGGAAAACTCTGGCTCACATCCAAACACAAAGCCCAGCGTCCCTTTCGTGGCACGCCGCTGCAGGCCGTCCCCATCTTCAACCACTGCGAGACTCTCAGTCGCCCCGGGCGCCTTTGCCGGCGGTCTTGACATGCCCCGCCTACTTGAAAACAAACCACCCGCAGTCACAAAGCAAGTTGAACCTTTCGGATTGCAGACAAAGTATCTTCCTGACTATGTTGCATGTGCTTGTACCAATCTTGGCAGCAGGAGTCGGGATGGCTTTGCTTGCATTCCATCACTAGCAGCATTCTCGACTCAATTGGACATGTGTTTGGGGGAAGCAGACAGCAGCGTAAGCGTCCCCCTACACATAGACTCCGACAAGACAAAAGTCCAGGCTGACAATTGTGGCCCCTCTTCAGCAGCAAACCAGAAACCATCATCCGTATCCTTCCCTCGACACCCGACACACCACCCGAAGCTTCATGGCCTCTGCACTGTTGGAAGCGCGGCCATGAGATGCAACGGTTGCACCGACTGCTGCACCCACGCCAATCCTGAACAGAGGCTAGCTTCGACTGTACGATTGTATGTCGCCTTGGAGCCTCTCCATCTCAAGAAGTGACACAGCATGGAATTACACAGTCACCCCGTCGGACTCCACATACGTAAAACCTTCGGCTCTACTCCTCTGCTCACGCCGAGAGGCCAACCACCAGACACTGCAAAGGCCACTTTTTTGCAAATATCAACAGCGGCACCTCCCGCAGCAGCGCCGGCGTCTTCTGTGGCTTTGGCTAGTTCTGTTAACAAATCATCTCGGTCAAAAGCCATGCCAGGATCTGACTGAAGCCTGCTGGCATAAGCCTGCAGATGGTGCTTGGCCTTGTTCAGAAGACCTGCTTTGACAGTAGCATTTGGCATTCCCTTGACAGCGAGTGCTGAAGACTTCCCATCCTCCACTGCAGCATTCTCCGCTTCTTGATCTAGCAGCTGCTCAATCTCCCAAGCTCTGTCTGCAACCGACTCCATAGCGTTGACAATCTCGTCCAAGGGATTGTGCACCAAGCCCCGGAACCTCAGGTGTCACACAAAGCGAAGCAAGAAAACAAAGCAACAACATGAGTCTGAGCTCACGTCACGTGAGCTCATTTCGCTCAAGAAAACCGCTGACTCGACCCTGCACTTCATACGAGCTGTGCAGACTTTTGGAGCTGTTCTCAGACATGTGGCCCACGCTCGAACTTGTGGATGGCGAGGATGCACGGCTTTGCAGACAGGCACACACCCAACACCAGCCACAGTGCCCTCATTCCCGCATTTGCATCGACTCCCACCAACAGCTGAGAGACACAGTTTAGGAGATTGTAAGAATTCTGTCCCGAAGCTGCGAAAGCGCCGTTTATGATGAGCAGGCTTAGGATGCTTAGGATGATCAGGCTAATGAGAATGTCAGCGAGGACCGCCTGCCGACTCTTCCTCATCGCGGTTTTGCCCCAGCTGCACACCTAGTGCATGGAAGTCAAGCATGGTCACCAGGGCCAGATCAAGCATGCAGTACGTATGTGTGCAGAAAGGTGCAAGGCCCGAGGTCTTTCCAACAGAAAAAGCATGCATTATGTACGGGCACCCATCGAGACAAGCAAGCATACCAACACCCACCAACAAACTCCACCTGTTCCAGACGCTGCCGGCCTCCTTCCAAAGCTTCTGCTCGATTTCTCTCTGCCTGGCAGAAAACAAAATACGTACGGCCACGGCACTCTCAGCCCCAGCGCAAGCTGGAGAGGCCTCACATTCTTGGCTGCTTCATCCTTCTGCACATGCATCTTGCGCTCCTGACAAAAGAGCGGGACCGGAACGGACCAGTCACAAGAGACGACAAGAGAGGAGAATCAGACCTGTCAGTTTGAACTCATGCTTGTGCCTTGTCTTGTGCTAGTTCAAGCTTCTAAGACAGTTCTAAGAGCTCCTGGAGCTGCTGCTGCGCGGCAAACTGGAGGACCAATGACGCCGCGGACAAAGCAGCGGCCACGCCGATCTCCAGACCCGAAGCGACCAGCGACCAACCAGCGGAAGCAAGAACCGAACACATTGCCAGGCCGGACATAGATGGAAAAAGCAGTGACAGAAGGTTTGAAATCAGGAGTGGCCCCAGCTGCCATCTGGCATCTGAACTCTTCTGGAATAGCTTGAACTGGCTTTTGGAGACCTGAAGGCATTGAGAATACAGGCTGCAACTGCTTGAGCTCCAGGAGGCGAAGGAACAATCCCACCGTGCATCACACTGTGCTCTACAGTCTGCTTCCGAGAGAAGCGCCCTTCCCAGGCTCAAACCACGATCAACGATGGTCGCTTCTGAAGCCTGCAGCAAAAGGGAATCGCTGGAGCAGGCGCGGCTTGAGTGCCTTTCCCACTGCGAGGGAATCATGGAAGTCCTCACTCCTGGCAGCACAGCGAGGGCAAGGGAGCACAGAACCAAGAGGCCAACCAGCACTCTGAGCCACAAATCCACGTGGACTTCACGTCGACGCCACTCCGGCAAATCCCCAATGCTGATACGAAGAGCTCCAAACTTCCAGTTGCAAATGAAGAAACCCAGAATCGCCGTGAAGAATCCCGCACTTCGGACCAGCACCTGGTCTTCAGGACTGAAGATCCAGAGAGCTCTCAGCTCTGCCAGTGCTGCGTGGACTGAGTCCCCCCACTGAGGACCTGTTCCAACATCTTTTAAGCTTCCTTTCTGTCTGCCTGCTCTTGCGCTTCCTTTTCAGCCCGCTCTCTGATGACTTCTGGTGCGCAAGCTCATGGACTTGGAAAACTGCTCGGCATTGTCCATCGCCGTCTGCAGGATCTTGAACCCGTACATGCTTACCTGGTTTCCGAAATCAAAGCAGATCCGAAAGTTCTGCAGACTGCAAGGACACAGCAGCAAAACTCTTCTAATTGCGCCAAGCCTGCTGTGGAATCCTTGTCACGCTTCCACGAGTAAATGGAAAGATTGTACTGGGTGGAACATCAAGAGTCTTGGACACCTTTTCCACCCTTTCATTCTCGCAGGCAGCTGT